GTGAGCAGTCTAACAAAGTCCGGCATTTCGTGGAAGGTGCGTCTTCGTGCTATTCCTAGACCAAAATTAACAGTTGGTAGATATCTTGACCTTTATCATTCTCTACAACAACTTGATCCCTATCTCGTAAGTTCATCGAGCTTTGCAGCGTTGACGCGTTCAGCCTCGTTATGACTATTGAAGTGGTCAAGTTTTGGCAAGCGTCCCTCATCAATTCCGACCTCGACATGTACTACGCGCCTACCGATACACCTGCCCTCTGCCGAACTTCCTCACTTGTAGAAGAGCTGGGCCAGATTGCCTACATCTTCTCAGACAAGACTGGTACGCTCACTTGCAACGAAATGGAGTTCCAAGAGTGCAGCATTTTTGGAACGATGTACGCCCAGGTTGTGGACGACGCCAAGCGAGAACAGGGACAAAGGACATTTGAGGTGCTACGGCAAAAGTGTTTGGAGGATAATGAGGAGGCTGCAGTCATCCGAGAGTTGTGCGTATTGATGCCGTCAGATTGTAATTCGACTGATGCACGCAGTCTATCAATGCTTGCGGTGTGTCATACGGTTATTCCGGAGGAGCGAGACGGAAAGATGGTGTATCAAGCGTCGAGTCCAGATGAGGCGGCACTCGTTGCGGGCGCCGAGCTACTTGGGTACCGCTTCCATGTAAGTCTAGGATGACCCTCCGTGCAGTTGCTTATAGGGGCAGACTCGAAAACCCAAATCCGTTTTCGTTGACGTCGGAGGCCGTGATGAGGAATACGAGATCTTGAATGTCTGTGAATTCAATTCATCTCGGAAACGAATGTCAACTATCGTCCGTGCACCCGATGGCCGAATCAGGTTGTATACAAAGGGAGCGGATACCGTGATCTTCGAGCGCTTGGCGCCAAATCAAGACTTCAACGAAGCGACATCCATGCATCTTGAGGTGAGTACTTTACGTTTATCATGGGACACAAGCTGATAATGCAAGGACTACGCCACCGAAGGTCTTCGAACACTCTGTCTTGCTTACCGGGAAATTCCAGAGGCTGAATACTCGGAATGGTCCGCGATGTATGATAGTGCGGCATCTCAGATGTCGGGTCGAGCAGAGGCCCTCGACCAGGCCGCTGAGGTGATTGAGCAGAATCTACACTTGTTGGGTGCAACAGCCATCGAGGACAAGCTGCAAGAAGGCGTCCCCGATGCCATCCACACGTTGCAACAAGCAGGAATTAAGGTGTGTGCTAGAGATGATGATACTTGGAAGCGCTGATTTTGGATCCAGATCTGGGTCCTTACCGGAGACAGACAAGAAACAGCCATCAACATTGGTCTGTCTTGTCGTCTGATTTCCGAGTCAATGAATCTTGTAAGTTTGCGTGGAGTTTTCTCTCTGTGACTGGTGCTGATGAGTCAGGTCATCATCAACACGGAAACTGCTACCGAAACGTCTGAACTGCTGAACAAGCGCTTATTCGCCATTAAAAACCAACGCATGGGTGGTGATGTAGAGGAACTCGCCTTGGTCATTGGTTCGTCTGATTAGCTACCCTTATCATCGGTGCTTATTGCTCTTACAGATGGCAAAAGCTTGACATTCGCCCTTGAGAAAGACTGCGCGGACGTTTTCCTCGAGCTTGCGATCATGTGCAAGGCGGTCATCTGCTGTGAGTTGCCTAGAGAACGGACAGTAGCCCGCGCTGACAATGCACAGGTCGTGTTTCGCCTTTACAGAAAGCGCTGGTCGTGAAGCTGGTCAAACGCTCCACAAATTCGCCTCTGCTTGCCATCGGAGACGGTGCGAATGATGTCAGCATGATCCAGGCTGCGCATGTCGGTGTTGGCATCTCTGGTGTGGAAGTAAATATCTCGCTCTTTTACGTGGATTGAACTGACAACTGCAGGGTCTACAAGCCGCTCGATCTGCCGATGTTGCTATCTCGCAATTCCGGTTTTTGCGGAAGCTCTTGCTGGTGCATGGGTCATGGAGTTATCAACGACTGTCCAAGCTCATTCTTTGTGGGTTGCCGTTGTCTCAGTTAGCGATAACGAACTGATGTGAACAGTCTCCTTCTACAAGAACATCACATTCGCTCTCACCTTGTTCTGGGTATGTGCAATTTAATTTCACGTAGAGAACGCTGACGCTTTTCAGTACTCATGGTTCAACGACTTTTCCGGCCAGATCTCTTTCGAAGGCTGGTCAATGTCATACTACAATGTCGTCTTCACCATCCTTCCCCCACTCGTTATTGGTATTTTCGACCAATTCGTTTCTGCTCGAATGCTAGACAGATATCCTCAGCTCTACCGGCTCGGCCAAGAAAACTATTTCTTCACCCCGATCACGTTCTTCTACTGGGTCGGAAACGCCTTTTACCACAGTGTAGTGAGTTGCGAGAAGTCCGCTGCTTTAATGAGTAGTCTAATATTTCCAGCTACTCTTTGCGTTCTCTTGCTTGGTCTTCCGAGGAGATCTCCTCGCGTCCGACGGGAAGAATTCTGGTCTCTGGGTGTGGGGAACGACGCTGTATCTTGCCGTTCTACTCACTGTCCTCGGCAAGGCCGCTCTTATCTCCGAGTGAGTTGCGTGTGACTTTGGATATTCGAATACTGACGCCGCGTCAAGCGTGTGGACAAAGTACACTCTTGCCGCCATCCCTGGTTCCTTCGTGTTCACCATGGTCGCTCTTCCTCTGTACGCTATAATCGCCCCACTACTAAACTTTTCCCGGCCGTATCGTGGAATCGTGCCAAGGCTCTGGGCCGACGCAGTCTTTTACTTTGTCTTATTGCTTTTCCCTGTAATCTGTCTACTGCGTGATTACGTTTGGAAATAGTGAGTCCGGTTGTCATTCCAGCCCGCCCTCACTAATACGGCATAGCTATCGTCGGACCTATCACCCGGCACCATATCATATCGTCCAAGAGATACAGAAATTCAACTTGTCTGACTACCGTCCAAGACAAGAACAGTAAGTCCACTATTGTCCACTCAACTTCCGTTCTGATGCCCCGCAGATTCCAGAAAGCTATTAAGAAGGTTCGAGCAACACAGCGCATGCGGCGCCAGAGAGGTTTCGCCTTCAGTCAGACGGAGACGAACAACCAGGATCAGACGCGGCTGATCAGAGCCTACGATACGAGCGTGGCGCGCCCATCAGGGTATTGATTGTGTTTGTTCTCGTACAAAAGTCAGCGGATTGCAAAGCATGCATGACATCATGAAGGATCGTTCTCTGGAAGAGTAGGAATGTCACATGGCAATCCGTCAACCTGAAATCAAATTCAGCGGCATCGATGGTGACGGGACTTACATTGATATCGAATGGAGCCCATGGAATGTTCATCGCCTCACCGGACGTTGAGGCGTGAGCATAACGAAGCTCGTCGCCTGATCCGCCCCGGAAAAGGATGATGCGAATGGTCTGCGCAGTGGTCCATGCCTCGCCTGTCTCCACGGTCAGAATGAAACTCCTGTGATGGAGGCGAGAACTAACCGAGCTGAGGCATGAGTACCGCTCGGTCTCCTGTATCAAAGTTGGCTGGCTCATTGTTGGCAGTGAGCAGCTTTGTGGCCAGTTGGTTTGTGACAATCAGCTTACTTCTCATCAGCGAAGATCACAACGGAAAATTAGAGAGACTGACAGCGCATTGTCGACCTGCGGTTGCTCTGGCAAAAGCCTGCTTTGCTCTTTCATGCATCAGCATGGCATACCTTACCTTCCATTGCATGAAGACTTACAAGTCCAAGTAGCGAGATTTGAGTTTGTTATCGAGGTGCGGATTGCGAAAGTGGAAGCTGAGAGAATCAATGATAAGGAGGTTCACCTGAATTCTGTCAGTTGATCTTCTGGTGTCAAAAAGATCGTAGTCAGAATCACCTTTGGATGCTCTTCCAGCCATTCTTCTATCCAGAGCAGGAAAGCTACCATCTGCACTTGTGTCGCGATCCGCATGAGGCGGATCCCTCGGATGATCGCACTTGGAGAAACTTCAGATCGCAGTCAGCTTTCATCTACGCGAATCAGAATCGCAGTTAGCTGACAAGAGGTGTTGCGAGTCACCGAATCTGCAGCAAGCAGTATTCGCTCAGCAGAAATGCTACCCTCCGTGTCTAGACATGTCAGTGAAGAAGATTTGTGAGACGTGCGTCCTACGTACCGACAATGAGTACCTCCTGCTGATCGTCTGGGGGACCACCTTTGACACCGTGGAGCGATTTCATCCGGGCATTGATCGCAATTCCCAATGCCAAGGATGTTTTGCCTCCCCCGGGTGGACCAGAAACCTCAATGGTCATGCCAGGAAGGATATGTCCACCTTGCCACACCTTCTGTTTCCCCTTTGGTTCGCGATCAAGTCGTCCGTCATTCACGTAGTCGGCATCTGGGGCGAAGTGGGATATCAGGGAATCTAACGAGGAAGAGAAAGTCGAAAAGCAAGTTTTTGATGCGGTCTCTAGAAGCTCTGCTGCTGTAGATGAGTGGATACGAGGCGTGCGGGTCGGTTGCTGCGACTCTGAAATGCCATTGTGTGAAGGGCCGGGAGTAGAACCTATCAACATCAGGGAAAAGTCTCCTACTCCCATATTGACAGGGTGTTTCTTACTAGGACCGCTGATAGCTTGCTGTAGGATATTCTCGGCTTGTATCAGGCTGATATTCAGCTCTGGGAGGGATCAATCAGCTGATCAGGGGCCTTTGCGGATCACTCACCACCAGCTAGGTCTTGGGCACTGATACCCGCCAGATCATCCGTGCTCTTATATCCCGCTTCGTTCAAGCTAGACTTGATGGAGTGCCTTCGTTCATCAGCTGACAAACCTGACCTCTGTTATACATGCAAGAACATACACTAGCTGCAGGGACGATAAGGGCCGACCCGGCATGCTAGACATGGTGTGTATTTGCAGAAGAAACAGAACAATGAAAGCAGGCACGCAGAGCTGGATAGAATGATGATTGCTGGGGTGGTTGATATACTACCAAATGACCAACAAAACTTTAATCCGCTGTTGTGCCCGAGTGGTTTAAGGGGAGAGACTTGAATGTTCATTTTGAGCCTTGAGATCTCTTGGCGAAAGCCGCGCACGTTCGAACCGTGTCAACAGCGAATTGAATTTTCTTTTGTCGGGTAATAAGTTCCAGAGCGATTTTGAGTGGGATTGTCTGATGTTCTTGCCTCTTTTTTTTGGCAATTCTCCAAGCTCAGCAGTCGGCTGTTACTGTCGTGTGGATGCCTTTGAATACCTGCTGCTTCAAGGGCACAGAAACGAGACCAGTCATCGCAATGTGCAAAGCCGGACTCCAAAAACCCATGTCGCCACGTGGCATTAAAGGGCCGCGTGCGCGCGACGCTGACGACCAAGCATTCCATCCTTGCACTTTGCATCAAACGTTAACAACTAGGCGCTCTCGGTTCTTCTCTCTCAAACTACACCAGTGACTGCTACCCAACCAAGGCTCTAACAGCCAAGCATCACTTCGTCAAGATGGTACGTTCGGCTTTGTTTCGTAGCCTTCCCATCCGAAGCTGATGGGTATATCAGAGTATCATGGAATACAACGGTGGTTCGGTGGTTGCGATGGTAGGCAAGGATTGCGTTGCGATAGCTACAGACATGCGACTGGGTCAACAATCCATTGGTGTCGCACACAACTTTGAAAAGGTACCGTCTTCTTTGTTCCTCCTCTGAACAGCGCGCCGAGCTGACACGGGCTTGGTTTAGGTGTTCCCGATCAATGATAAACTGTACTATGGTCTTCCAGGTCTAGCGTCAGACGTTTACTCATTGTCAGCTTCTCTTTTGTTATTTCTTCTGTGATACGGCAGTCAGCTGACATGTTTATTTTTGATTAGACGAGAACACCTTCGATTCAGAGTGAATATGTACCGCATGAAGGAAGAGCGCGAAATTACCCCAAAGACATTCACACACCTCCTTTCCTCGACCTTATACGAGAAACGGTGAGCTGCCTTGCATATTCGTAGTTCTTAGCCTGAAGGACAAAGGACGAAGCTTATGAGTGTAGATTCGGACCATGGTTCCTTGAACCTGTCGTCGCTGGACTGCCTGCACCTACAGAAATGGAACCTCACCCCAAACCATTCATCTCTACAATGGACACGTAAGCTCCCATCCTTAATCTGAATCATGTGTGAGAGGATTAACGCTGTACTGTACCCAGTATCGGATGTATCACCACTCCCAAAGATTTCGCAGTGGCAGGAACGGCAACGGACAAGCTATACGGTGTAGCAGAGGGCCTTTGGGAGCCAGATCTCGTCAGTATACCCTCCCCCACCGATACCACCCCGTGAGCGACATGCTAAAGGACGAGTAGGAGCCTGAAGACCTTTTCGAGACTATCTCTCAGACTCTATTGAATGCAGTTGATCGTGATGCGTTGAGTGGTTGGGGTGCAGTGGTCCACGTCATGTGAGCGCTTCTTCTGGTCCATCTCGCGCAAGCTGACTCGCATCAGTACACATGACAAGGTCATTACGCGTACATTGAGGTCACGCATGGACTAAATGTCAATTGTTGGGGACGCATATGCATATTTGATACCATGTACAAGCCATATTCAGAACGAGTGGTGTGGTGCAAGGACTGAAGATTCACAATGAAGATCACATTCTCTACTGCTCCTCGTCAAGCCAGTCTAAGAATTGGGGAGCAAAGTACGTCAGAATGATGCCAGCGCCTAAGATTTCATTAGCAATCTGCAGGCGGTCATCTGACTGATTGCCAAGAATCTCACCTGCTCTGATCATTGACTCTGTCGTCTCGAAGGCCATCTCCTTCAACCCGTAGATCCCCTTCTCTGCTCCAGCAACAATCATGGCATATTCGCCTGAAACCTGGTAGCAAGCGACAGGGAGGTCTGGAACAGTCTGCGCAGCGTCCGAGATTATATCGAGGTACGGGAGGGAGGGCTTGACCATGACCATATCGGCTCCTTCTGCGGCATCTCTCCGCTACGCAATGTGTCAGCGTGCCGTTCCTGCCAACCATGGTGATATGCGTACCAGCGCTCGGCGAGCCAGACCTCGAGCGTTAGGAGGTAATTGATAGCACTTTCTGTTACCAAACATAGGTGCACTACCAGCAGCATCGCTAGAGGCGCATGAGCACTAAATCGATTTTTGAATGGTGAATACAGAAGGATGAGCTTACCGGAATGGTCCATAGAGTCCACTAGCGAATTTTGCAGAGTAGCTCATGAGTGCACACCGATTCGCCAGACCTGCATGCATAAGGCCCATCTTGATAGCTCGTATCCGTCCATCCATCATGTCGCTCGGGGCCACAACGTGTGCTCCAGCCTTTGCATAGGCAACTGCGACTTCTGCGATACGCTGTGCTGATTTTTCAGCGTCGAGTGTAGGCATATTCGAGTGTCCGGGATTGGGAAGCGGGGAGAGGATACCACAATGTCCGTGCGAGGTGTATTCGCATAGGCAGACGTCGATGGCGAGAAGTAGTTGAGGGTACAGCTTGGATAGCAAGGAGAGGGCAAGGATGACGGGTGTTTCGGGATGATCAGCTGCTGTTCCCCTTGCGTCCTGCGGAAAGAGCTAATCAGCACAAAGAGGCAATTATTTGATTAAGAGGAAGGAGCAAATGGTCGATCACAAGCTGGAGGAGGATGGCAGTGGTAGATTCCAGCAGTGATTGAGAATATCAGAACACACCTTCTCCATCTTCATGGGTACACCAAACAGAATGACGCCTTTCAGACCTTTCTTGATCAACGGTCCGAGGAACCCTTCGAGCTTATTGACACCCCATCGTTTCTGTCCAGGCAGAGTCTCGATGACCTGCTCAGCGTCTGGATCGTCCGAAATGAAGATGGGGTAGATGAGCATCGACTTGGTGAGATTACGGCCATTATTCTGCCATTGCCGCAGGGTAGGATGGTGATAACCGCCATGCAGCACTGATCTACATTGTATTTGTATAAGCATTGATACGATAGACAGGAAATATCATCGTACGAGACATCTAGGGGAGGTGCTTTGAACTATGTTTATTCAGCCAGATTCCACTAAGCACGAGCCATGAGCTCACGATCTCGTCTGACATGTTGTTTGTTTGTATCACCAATTACTAGCTTGACCACAAGATGGCGATTACAAGGTCGTCAACAAGGGTTTGAATGATCACTTCGACTTTTAACCAACCAAGCTCGGAGAAAGCCGGTGAGTTTCACAAGCCGGCTGGTCGCTTCTTCTGCCTGACTCCTCCCGTCCACTCGGATTACTGTCTGCGTGGGTTTAAACACACGCAACTTCTTTACTCTTCTTGAGACATTACATACATATCATTTCAACATGTCTAATCAATTGCGCGCAGTCAATCGTCCTGATGAAGGCTCATCCCGTACTCAGACGGTCACATCGACGCCGGTAGCAGCCGCGGAGGGATCTTCCTCCGAGGTGGACGACCAAGGCAGGACAGTCGGTGTTTTACGTCTTCGTGGTGGTCCTGCACGCAGACAGCGGGTAGTCTGGGCAGAGGATACGGTCGATAATGAAGGCATGGGAAAGAAGAAATCAAAGAGTGAGTTTCTTACTCGCTCATTTGCTCTTTGTCGTGTGAAGAAACAGTTCAACTGTTTCTCTTTGTCATTATGCAAGTTATCGCTGACAAAGGGTAACTCTTACCAGTTTGCTGCATCTACCATCGTCCGAAAGCATTCGACGAGTCTTCTACCGAGTCGGACTCGGACGCGAGTGAGCCATCCGATAGTGAAGGTGGTCAGAGAGGCGGGATGAAGAAAAGGGATCTCGGGACAGGCAAAGGAAAAGCAGCTGAGGATACCGATTCAGAGTCCGACGGAGGACAGGGAGATGGTCGTGCCAGGTGAGTCATCAATTCACAGCATGAACGAAAATTTCAACTGAATCTTTACCCCTGCAGACCACCAAGGCCTCGCCGAAGCAAACATCGCCATCACCGTCACGCAGATGGATGTGAGCACAAGCACGATGATCGGCCAAACAAGTATGATCTCCCAGGCAAAGGGAGTGGCGATGGACCAAGTGGTTCTGCTCCAGGGAATAAGACGGCTTGATCAGGCGCTCACACTGGCAAGGCACTATGTAAGGATACATATAGAATGGCAGGCAGTACTTTGTATCGATTGAAACACATCCTTGTATCTTGTTTAGACTTCAGACAACTCCGACCTGCTGCTCATCCTGATACACGCCAGTCATAAGACACTTGAGCCCAAGTTCAAACCATTTCTCTTGCACCTCGCTCAGTGCCTTGCCACTGAGACGTGCTGACATGGCCAAAGCGAAATTCTCCCGGAGCACCTTGATCGCCATTGCTGTTTTAGGTTCGACTCGATACCGGATCTTGCGGTCCAGTTGAAGTAAAGATGCGGAAAGCTGTCTTGATTAGCGCCTATCCAGTCAGGTTGCGAGCTTGTCCTTACCCGGAAGTCTGCGGTGTCGCCACACAACATCGCCAACGCCCGGTCGTCCACAGGTCCCGTTTCCCATGCATACAGCTTTTTGGATTGCATGATTGTGAAATATGCCAGGTAATTGGTTCCAAAATCCGACTTTGGAGTGCGAAAGTTGATGGAACTTGGATGCTGAGCAGGATCAGCCTTTGTACCTGGTGTATGACGCGCTGAGGAGACTCACGATAGCCACAGTCTGCTGATTGATAATAGTTTTCAACGCATTTCCATCCAGAGACAGAAGCTTTGGATACAATCCGGCAGCGAGGGCCGCACCCATAATAAGCGGGTTCTCCGCGTTAACATTCAGGTCTCTTGGAACAGTCACGAAGCGAGTACGGGAGCCGCGCGAGTATCGAGCTCTGTGAAAATTGAGCTCTTAACTCAACTCGGGGAGGACACCGCATTTACTGATTGATCTCCTGTTTCTGCAACTGGGTCGTGCTTACGAATGAAGAATCGATAAGATATCTAACCGGTCAGTGGAGGCCTGATGGCATCAAAGCAAAACATACGCAAGCAGCTGCTGACGGAGCTCTTCGATCTGCTGCAAGTTCTGCGATAGTTCAGCGCGGGAAATGCGAATTTGGTGTGTACACTGACCTGCTGGGAAACAAAGTTCTTTCGACAAAA